TTATAACACCCTATGAAGAGTATAAATAGTTTAACTATCCTGGTACTTGTTATAACGTTGCAAATTATATATTAAGCAACGTAATTTTTCCCTCTAAGTTTTATGTGCAAATACAAAGCCATGTCATCTTTTACTTTTCAATTCTTAATACAAATGCTCATCCACACAGTATTTTCGTTTGGAAGTTAATATACAAAAAAATCCACTAAACATTTTACTCCCAAGTTTCTTGATAAACGTAAATCCACAGCGTATAATTTTATTTAGCATAATCTGTTTTGGAAGTTAAACTGGTTGTATCATTAAATGCAAATAACTCTAGAATATTGCATAAATTTGAATGTTCCATCACATGAGCAATGTCTCTCTCACCAGAAAGTTCACGACATTTCCCGACTCTCACTAAACAATTAAAAATAATGTGTACAAAAAAATCGTTTTAGTGTGAACGCCTTTTTCAAGCTGGCGAAGCATGTTTATAGTTAAATAAACTTGTCGTCAGACATTAGTACTAGGCCTACTTCGTTTTTAACACTGCATTATTTACTTAGTTCCTTAGAGATTTTTCAATAATTAGAAGTATGTGTAATAACAGTGTTCCCATCCACTACTTTCGTCATATCCGTTTTCGAGGACGCGGTTCGTTCAATCCAGAGCTCATCGGCAGACTGGGACGCATAAGCCGTATATTACAACAATAATTGTTATGGTGTAAACGCAATGAATATGGCGGACATGGTGTGGCTGGAATTCCATATTATACACTCTTCTAATACTTGAAAATCATTAAAGTTATTTGCTTTAGAACAGAGCCACATTGGGCTATTTGTTGCTTCCACCCCAGAGAATCGAGCCCCGGATTTTAGCGTTGTAGGTTCTTGTCGCTGACCCGCCAGTAGATAATCCTAATGTATTATATCGAGAATGTATTGTTAAAAAATATAATAGGTCTAATACTAATGTCTGATAACAAGTATAACTACTTATAATCGTGCATCGCCAGCTTGAAAAAGGCAGTCACATTATAACAACTGTCATTGAAACAAACGACTTATATAAACAGTGTTCCGACCATTACTGTGTTTGTTGTATTCCAGACCACCTGATGAGCTCTGGATTGTGAAAAACGCGTCGTCGGCTATGAATATGGCGAACATGGAGTGGTTGAATATTAATATTATATGCTCTTCTAATTCTTGAAAATTTCTAAATGACAAGATAAAGAATGTAATAGGCCTAATGCTAATGTCTGGTGAAAGTATTATTAAAAATCATGTGTACAAACCTTTGTTTCTAAAACACTGATTAATATTCTCTTTATTGTATTTTATAACCATTCTAGTTATATCGGTGACTTTGTTAATATTAAACTTATTATGTTTTATAACAGTTCTTGTTATATCAGTGACTTGACTAACATTCTATTTATTGTGTTTTATAACAGTTCTTGTTATATCAGTGACTTGACTAACATTCTATTTATTATGTTTTATAACAGTTCTTGTTATATCAGTGACTTGACTAACATTCTATTTATTATGTTTTCTAACAGTTCTTGTTATATCAGTGACTTTGTTAACATTAAACTTATTATGTTTTATAACAGTTCTTGTTATATCAGTGACTTGACTAACATTATATTTATTGTGTTTTAATATAATGTTAGTCAAGTCACTGATATAACAAGAACTGTTAGAAAACATAATAAATAGAATGTTAGTCAAGTCACTGATATAACAAGAATTGTTAGAAAACATAATAAATATAATGTTAGTCAAGTCACTGATATAACAAGAACTGTTATAAAACACAATAAATAGAATGTTAGTCAAGTCACTGATATAACAAGAACTGTTATAAAATATAATAAATATAATGTTAATCAAGTCACTGATATAACAAGAACGGTTATAAAACACAATAAATATAATGTTAGTCAAGTCACTGATATAACTAGAACGGTTATAAAACACAATAAAGTTATATTTATTGTGTCATATAACAGTTCTTGTTATATCAGTGACTTGGTTAACATTCAACTTATTATGTTTTGTAACAGTTCTTGTTATATCAGTGACTTGACTAACATTCTAATTAATGTGTCATACAACAGTTCTTGTTATATCAGTGACTTCAGTACTGTTCTCTTTATTGTAGAGGGTCAGAAAAGTTGTAAACTTCCCGGAGGGGGGGAAGGAAGGAGAAATGTTTTAGATACGATAGAACATTCTAAATTTCTTCTGTGATAAGTAGAAATGGTTAAACTATCTGACGATTATAATAAATCAACTTAGTCTAAGTTCAAGGTAGGTCAAGTTCAATCCACACTTTGATCAACGTGTGTTATTGGGTTATATAATTTCGAAGAATTCCACTCCTCATCAGTAACCATGAACACAAGTATAACGAGTATATCAAGCTCGTCACGTTACTGGAACAACTTGTAGCCGAAAAATTCAAGGATTAATAAGACCAGGTTGTTGGTCCTCGAAAAAATAATCAATGTTAGCAACAGATTGAAAATTTTATTACAGTTGTCTGGAAACCCCATCATTATTCTTCAGAACATCGGAATTCTAAATTTAATTTAAATCAGCTCTGTAGTTTTCACAAAAAGAAATCGATAATTTATCAGAGGACGCTAGCATAGCTAGCTGAAACAGCTATTGTATTTAATTATACAGAAGCTCTGGTTCTTTGTTCGTTATTACATGTGAATATGCTAAAATTGTGTATAACTTAAGGCAGCTGTGTTTTTACTTTATATGGCTTAATTGTACGACTCATCTTCAAAAGATATGTCCCCAGTGGCACAGCGGTATGTCTGCGGACTTATAACGCTAGAAACCGGGTTTCGATGCCCGTGGTGGGCAGAGCATAGATAGCCCATTGTGTAGCTTTGTGCTTAACTTCAAACAAACAAAAGATTTATTTACACTTTTGAGTAACTGCCACTTTAAGACATTCAAAAGTTATTCAGATATCAGATATTCGTCACAAAACAACAGTTTAGACGAAAGAGAGAAAGTTTGTCCACCACGAGGAATCGAACCCAAGGTTTTAGCGTCGTAAGTTCATAAACTTACCACTAACCCACTGGTGGACAGTTTATTTATAGTTTAAAAAATAATTCCAACACCTAGTCAAACAACTAAACCCTGCAATGACAGTTAATTATGTTCCGGCGATTTTCCATTTGTATTACATAATTATAATACGGCCCGGCATGGCATGGCCAGGTGGTTAGGGCACGCGACTCGCAATCTGAGGGTCTCGGGTTCGAATCCCAGTCACACCAAACATGCTCGTACTTTTAAGCCGTGGGGGCGTTATAATGTGACGATCAATCCCACTATTCGTTGGTAAAAGAGTAGCCCAAGAGTTGGCGGTGGGTGGTGATGACTAGCTGCTAACTAGCGCAGATAGCCCTCGTGTAGCTTTGCGCGAAAATTCAAAAAACAAAAAACAATTATTATAATTATGTTATATAATCAAGAAAAATGATTTATTTTAATGTTCAATCAAACACGTCGCACAGCAAAAGATTGTTTAAAAAAAATTAAAACTGAAGCACCTAAAAAAACATCAGTTTTTCCCTAAAACATCTTGAAGTATTATTTATGTTTCCCACGTCAAGTAGGGGGACCTTTTTAATATTTGTAATCTCTGTAATGTAATTTACTTACTTACTCTAGGTAAATTTATCTTACATTATTTTACTTATAAGCTGTTAAAACTAAAGCGATGTTGGTTTTTTGACCGTAAGTTTCTTTATATACCCGTAATCACCACTTTAACCATATTGTCTCTCGGTAAAGAATGTATATTATTATTCAATATTATTTAATATTTTAAATGGGAGCGTCATACGATGATATGAATCACGTGCTTCGCTCCGATGCTCGCGAGACGGTTAGCTAAAGTGCAGCCTTATAATGCCTTCCACGTTTTAATCGCATTACATCGTAGAAGTTGCTCTGTTTAAGCTTTAGTTAGCGAAATAGTGATTACTTTGGTCTTCAAAATCGATCTGGCATGGCCTGGTGCTTAGAGCACTCAACTCGCAATCTGCGGGTTGCGAGACCGAATCCCGTCAACAAACATGCTCGCCATCTCACCCATGGAGGCGTTATAATGAAGCGATTAATCCTAGTTTTCGTTTGTAAAACGTAGCCCAAGAGTTAGTGGGGAGGGGTGTTGACTAGCTGCCTTCCCTCTACTCTATTACATCAATATCAGGGACGAATAGCGCATATAGTCCTCGTGTAGCTTTGCGAGAAACAAACAAACAAAAACTAAAGTCAGCTGGGTCTAGAACAGAACACAGTAATGACAAGTTTCCTAGGTAACTATTTATGCTTTTTTCATCTCACTTATTTCGTTTGTCGCTGAAGTATTTTAATTACACTTTGGAAGTATGAATAACATATAACTGATTACTTAACAATGATAAGGAATCTTCTTATCACGAAATTCATTTAATAGTGATTAGTTCGTTTATCCACCGTTTCGATTGTTCGTGTTCATATGAACCTTGTTTGAAACACATTATTCATAATTGATTTTGCCGACTACCTTTTAAAATGACAAAGTTCAGACCATACAATTATTTTAAATATCATGAGGAGTCTTCAAAAGTTAATTTATTTGACACGTATTAAAAAAGGTAATCAAACGCGGATCGTCTGAGAACTGTGCGAAGAGACGAAGCTGGGTTACTATTTTGATTGATATCAATACAAAGTACTACTTTGATATTTAGAGGTCAGCTTACTTTGGTTAAGCAGTCCACCAAAATCGTAGTTTAGAGCGTTAAGAAGAGCCTCTACGGCTGCTCATTGGATACTGATCCCCGACGTAGATCGATAAAGTCTGGGCATAGCCAGGATTCAAGGACCTCCGTCTTTACTTTGTGTTCAAAGAACCGTTGCCATGGCAACAGAGTTGTAATTTTTCTCCGTGATCACCAATCCTAGAAGCCGTTGCCATAGTGACAAATGCGTTATTTTCTTTCGCAGATCTCTATAGACTTATATAAATATTACACCTTTAGTTGCCTCAGTGTTTAATTTGAAGGTGAACTGTGCAGACGAACATTTAATGATATCTCACTGTATAGCAATCATCCTCTTTCAACACTTAACTGTCAGTCTCTGCCGCAGTGTGAAAACCGTCATAGTAAAACCAAGTAGATGCTATCTTCTGAGAGATGTAACTTTCATGTCTCTCTCTTGCCTGTGTAGAAAGTGGCACGTGAGAATTTCGTGTGCTGAGGAGATGCTAGAAGCACCATCGCGAATTTTACCAGGTTTCTGCAAGATGGTGGTGTTCGTGTAACTGACAACTAAAACCTGCGTCATGAAAGTTTACTACATTTTCCTGTCTTTAGGTGTCATCTACCACGTGACACTAACATCCTGTCTTCCTGATGTTGTTAAGATCGGTAAGTACACATCTTCTTTTAAAGGTCAGATTTTACAACCATGTGACAAAAAATTGCGAAACAAAGTTTCAGAAAGATAAAGACGTTTACGAGCGAACAATACGTCTAGAATAACGCAAAACAAACAGTGAGATGGGGCTTTTTTTATCTTGAATTAATTACAACAGAAGTCCTTTAAAGTGTTCTGCCTACAAAGCCTAATTTAGTCGTACGAATATAACTTACAACAAGATATGTCTGCCTTTTCAAATATTATATTATAATTCTCTTGAAAATGATCTTTCCGAATATTTTACGCCCTTTAAATATAAAGAAAATGAATGTATTACATGAATATTAGTAAAACTTGTATCGTTCACAATACTGACAAACATATTTATAAGCTTCAAAATTTGATCGATCAATACGTTAGTTGATAATAATGGCGTTGGATTTATCAGCAAGGACTTATCCCATACAAGACAGAGATAACCTTAAGCTTAAACATAAGTCTAATTAAAGATTAAATGTAACTCAGGAGTCTTCAATAAACAAATTTCGTAACCTATTAGGTCAATTAATATTGATTAACCTACGTCGCAAATATTCAACAGCTATTAATAACTGATTACATTCAAACAAATACAGATCAAACCATTATTAACGTTTAATAAACGTTAACAAATACTCAGATTGTTAAAATTACACACTCTCGTTAACAGTATTTGTTGTCAGTTAAATTGCTTCCCAGAGGCACAGTTCACGGACTTATAACGCTAGAAACCGGGTTTCGATACCCGTGGTGGGCACAGCACAGATAGTCCGTTGTGTAGCTTTGTGCTTTCAAAAGTCCTCCAATGGAACGACGGTACGTTTACGGACTTACAACACTAAAATCCAGGGGTTCGATACCCTGCAGTGAACACAACAGATAGCCCAACGTGGCTTTCCTCTAAAACAAACAATCTCAGTTAAACATAAATAGGAGTACATGTTGAACCATTGAATAAACATTTTACCCATAATTCTGTTCTTACCAATATATTCATTGTTTTGAAAATAACGGTAATAGCTCCTCCACGGGTGAAAGTACGGAGGGTATTCAGAAGCATATTGCGGCTCGAACTTTTGATCTTCCGATACGCAGCCAGGCACGCGAACTACTAGGTAGAAACTGTAATGATCAAAATGTTGTTCCATCAGTAGGAAATGTAGTCGCTGAAAGAGACCAGGGTTCCACTGTGGCAGCAACATTCAAACACCAAATGTTGGATATTGTGTAACATCTGCACTGTGTAGTATTTTCTAGCCAATAAATTTTAATTATGTGCCATTTTAGTTTTACACATTGTTAAAGTTATAATGAGTTAAACTTTGGAAACGTACACGCAGATATTTGTTTTTAGTTTTGTTTAGGCGTAAACCTGTGCAATGGGCTGTACGAGCTGTGCCCACAGCAGGGATCGAGCGATATAAGCCCTCAACCTATTATTATTATATAACGCTAACAAAGAGAAACATTATTAAAAGGCAGTAATGGGTATTTGTGATTAGAAAAAAGAGGAAAACTTGACTCACAATGTTCGGAAGTGGCTCTGTAAAACAAACAAACGGATTGTTTGTTTGTTATGAATTTCGCGCAAAGCTACACGAGCGCTATCTGCGCTAGCCATCCCTAATTTAGCA